TTGTAAAGATGAAATGAAATAATCCATATAGAACAAGTCTTTTAAAAGGACTGAATACCTGCTTGCACTTACAATACACACACACTTTCACTAAAATAAGCAATGAAAAAGGATGAAAACCAAGTTTTACCCTAGTTTTTTCCTTAGTTGAACACCAATGTAACTAATATTTCACCTATGAACATATCAAATCCTTTGATGAGTCTGATAATAAGTGAAGCTAAATGTTTTACAGCCCCATCTTTCTTAATAAACCATTAAACTGCTTCAGCCCTTGCTTTGTGATTTTTCATGTCTGATGGTATTAATTATGTATGCAAAATGGATGGCACTAGGGCTGAGCACAGAAAATTCGAACATTAAATGTTCTGTTATTTTCATTCAAGTGTGTTCTGATTTATAAGCTTCCATTCCTCATTTAGGTATATTCTTAATTGTTCATTAATATTCTGCTCTCAAACATTAGTCTTGACCATCCTGATGAGCTGCTTAGCATTCTGTTCTCTTGTGTTGGCATTTTTATTTCATTAAATATATTTATCATTAACTTCCTAATAATAAGTTTCACTCATTCTCCCAAGTAAACAAAGACATTATGTTTAAAACAGGTTTATGTGCTTTGAGCAAGTTTCTTTGGAAACAGATGAATTAGAAAGACAAAACCCTTTCTAAAAGATGCTTCCATCTCATTGTATTGCCCCATTTTTTAACTTTTTGTCCCATTCATGTAACAAGACTTTCTTATCTAAGTTATCTGACATTACTGCCAGTAGGTCAAAATGCAACAGTATTTTGAAGCTCCTAATGTAAATGAATCTTTACCTTTTGAGCCATATTATCTAGTATTTCTGTTGGTCAAGAATTTCTTCTGTTACCTGTTTCAAATAAATGAAGCAACTTGTCTGTTGGGAAATGTGCTTCTTGACTTGAAAGAGGAAGGTTTCCCTAGACATCATTTCTACCCATGTTCTTTGTGCAAGCAGATCTGGGTTCACTAGTCGCAAAGATGTGCTATCTGAAGTTAGAGATTCACAAAGAAGAAAACTGAAGTCTCGATAGTGTAGTTCTAATGCTGATAAACATGCTGAAAATTAATATAAAAAATACACTACCTGTGCCCTCCCTGGTGGCGCAGCAGTTTAAAACACAGCACTAAGAAGCCACAGCTTAAGCCACTTCCCCATGAGTTCAATTCCCCTGCCCCGGAGGTGATCCCACATGGCGTGACAGACCTCTCCTGACCCGCCTGCTGCTCCCCTCAGCAGTGTACTTAGTCAGTCGACCACTCTATCTCTGGTCAATCCTCTCATCCTCCGCATTTCTGGCCTGTATCCCAGTTCTGTATGAATAAATAAATAAATCTTTAAAAAAATATGTATATATACTAGCTATGGGTAAAGAATATCATGTGGGAGTGTGGGTGAATTGAGAAGGGTAAAAGATATCCACTTTCTCTGTATGGCAATAGGTCTATTTTCCAGAATGCATTGCGAGGAAAGCTGGTTGAAAGGGAGAAGGAAGAGGTACTATGTGGTCACAGAATAGCACTAATTTGCCTGAACCCTGTGAAGTCCTAGCTTTTGATCTGATCTTATTGTTAACTTAGTTAAATAATCTCAAAACCAATTCAGATATCCCACCAAAGATCAATTCTCCATTTCCTCTCTCAGCTTTTCTTTATTCACATCCCTACTTTCTATAAAAATAAAAGTACCACTACTATTATCTGAGCTAGAAAGACACCTAACATGGAATCTAAATTATATTCCAAAACACACATTAATTGAATTTACAGACCCAGAATTCTAAATTTCTAGTTACAGTAGTCAACCCAGAAAGCAAGGAGATAATGCTTGAGAAAGTTAAACAATTGAGTCCTTTCTCAATGGGTTTCTAAGAGCAAAGGCACCTTTCCACTAGGAGAGGGCATTGTGGTTGCTAATGTGGGCTGAGGAAGGTGCAGTGTTCTCACTTCCTTGGCCAAAATCAGACTTTACCCTAAGAAAACATAGACAGTTAATGCTAATGAAGAACAAAAAAAAGAGCCTTGAATAACTGCCACCTCCTCTGAGTCTCCCACCCTGGAGACCAATGGTCAAGCAGCGATTCCAGGGACTGTCTGCACAGAGCTCATTTATTTATTTGGGGCTTGGCCAGACATCCTCTTTGTCTACCAAGTAACTATGATAATCATTCCAATTAAGGAAAATGTCATCTGTTTGTAACAGCAGGACTTTAGCTCAAGGCAGATGACTGCAGATGACTGCAGACACTGGCAGATGTTTCGGGTCTTCAAGCCAGGGGCAGGCAGCTGAGTGGAACATCTTCAAAGAAACGTGCATGAGGATTTGTTCTTGTTCTGAGCTCTTCACTGACAGTGTGCTTCTAAGTAGGCTAAGGAATAAGAGCAAGCAAAATACAGGGTAAAGGACAAAAAAATGTAATTTCACTGGAATGTTTGTAACCAAACTTTTCCAGGAAATAAATTGTGGGTATTGCCTTTCACAGAAGAGCACAGATTGTTTTCTGACTGATTTTATAAATGTCTTCAAACAAAACAGACACATCCATTTACTTTCCTTCAAAAACCATTTAAGGTAAAATCACTAATACATGCAGGAATTTGAAGACAACAGGTCACATACCTTTGCTTATACAGTACCTGCACCAAAGTCCTTAAAATTTTTTCACACTTCTCATATGGATGGATTCACCTGTCCATACAGAATTTTTACAAACATGGACAATAATATTCTATTTCTGAGTTTTAATTATTATGATATTTATGCTGCTGAACCAACATGTCTATTACCTTTCTGTTCTGTGTATTAATTTATAATTATTTTTAAAATAATAATCAAGAGAGAGAGGTGGAAGACTAGAATTCTTTTGCTCTAGGTCCTATTTCTTTCGCATGTATTGCTTTGTGACTTTGTTCAACAGAACCAAACCCTTTCATCCTTATTCCCAATCTTTAAAGTACACATGAAATATATTGAGGTTTTGCAAAGATTATATATAGTTTAACATTGATTCCTGATCTTGAAGAGCAGAAGAGAAGTGCCATACAAAAAGGCAAATTTTCGAATACATACAAAAAAGTCATGGGAATAAGAGGGAAGTCTCACATAGACCTAAAATCGCATGCAAAATTTTATGATCTTATTCCTTATCGTAGAATATCTGATTTAGATTTGTATTTAAACTTATAGTTGTCCTGACAAATGCCCCTTTCTCACCACCACCCACCACTTCCCCACCTTTGGAGTGGGTCTACTGGTCTCACATCTTCTGAAAGGAAGAGGCTTTAATTTAACTAAAGCAAAAGAGTGTGAGAGGAAGCCATGATAAGATAATCTAATCAATAGTTCCTGTAGTCTGTTGAGTGATATCCAAAACTGACTTCTAGTATTCTCTTATACTTCTAGTTTTGCAGAATCCTGTTACAGGAAAAATGGAGCTGTTCGGTGTATTTGCAATGAAAACTATGCTGGACCTAACTGTGAAAGGTAGGCTAATTACCTGTTTTCTGTGTGAGTTAAAAGTTGTTTTCTGGCTCTATATCCTCAGTTCTTACCAGGCCCCCATTCAGAATGTCTGGAAAGAAATGTTTAAGAGGAAGGAGTGAGGAGAATCACATTTCAGAACCGCAGGGGGCCTTTCCCAGCTCCGCCTCCCTGAAACAGCTATGACAATATGCTCCCCAGGGGTGCAGGCCAGGGTCCAGCTCTCAGGACAAATAGGTCTGGAAAGAACAAATGACTCAGGGTATTTTGAAGAGTATCTAGAAGGTTTTGATAACAAACTCTCTCCTCTCTATTAATGAGAACCAGTAGTGTAATTAATGTTCAAACAAAATGAAGCAGAGAGAAGCTTATTGAATAAATAAAAAGTAAATCCAAGCTACGGTCACCTCATAGAGAAATAAATTGGGGAAAAAAAAACACTGACTGGTATTACTTAACCTAGTACTTAACCCATTCTTTCCTCTCCTGGAAAGTAAACAAACTTCAAGGAGTTTAGATTTTCAAATCTGTTTGGTGTTTACACCTAAGAGTTTTTTTAAATTGGCTGTGGTTTTTGCTCAAATAAGAAAGGTCTGGTGACTAAAAGGACTGGAGAAAGGACTGGAGATTCAGTGTGATGCAGGGCTTCGCAGAGTGATTTCCTAGCAAGATACTTCCCAGTCTCCCCCACTGTCAGCTGCTCAGTGTTCTAAGGTCAAAAGGCTCCTCTGACGAGTCTCCTGGAGAGGGCTTCTTATTTTTTAACAGAAATGCCATTTTCACTGAAAATTTTGGCCTGAAATGATGTGTAGTGTCATAAAGACAGGCAGGAGGGGCCAGTCCAGCTTCCAGGGTAACACCCACAGTGTGTTCACTGCACAACAGCACACACCACACAAGCTGAGGTGGCTCTCACTGCAGCCTGGGGCTGGAAGTATAAGCCTGAAATGACATGACTCCTCATCTCACCTCTAAAAAAAAACACCCTCCATATCTCAAAAAGAGAAGCTCTGAAGCTCTTTTTGAAAAAAACCACAATATTTGTGGAACAGAGAAAACCACTGTACTCCAGACATGGCTGTTATGATTTTGCCCCCAAGGAAAGAGGGCAAATAAAAGCTGAGGTGCCCCACGAGGTGCCCCATTTCATCCTTTGAGGGGGACCACTACAGATGATCAGGTTACTTTCAGCTGATTAATGTCTGGGATGTAATCATTTGGTATTTCCTTACTTGGGGGCCCAGGACTATGAGACACATGATTTACTCATTTTCTGACTCAGATGGGGGGTATGAGAGGACAATAAGTCAGAGGTGGAGTTGTTTCTCTTCAGTGTCTAGGTTAGACTCGGTGTAATGTGGCAAGGATAGAACACCAGCACCAGCTAACAAGGACAGGATGGTTTTTGTGTGGTGGATGAATGGCCTTAAATAGAGCCCTGCTGATCAAGTGCAAGGCCTTTTAGAGTTGAAGTGAACTGAGGCCCCAAAGACTCAGCTGGACAATCAGACAGCAGTGCAGCAAAGGGCTCTGTCAGCAATAGCAGTGGCCTGGCACGGGACAGCACACCCACCTTCCACAGGGGGCTGTGATCTATATAGCCCCCATGAGAGGGCCAGAGTACAATCCACTGTCCACTTAGCCTGGGTCAGATCTTCTGCTTGTCTTGGACCTGGAATGTAGCACCCAAGATAAGAACACTAGTCCGGCCCTCCCTGGTGGCACAGCGGGTTAAAGCACTGCACTAAGAAGCTTAAGCCACCTCCGCATGAGTTCGATCCCCGCCTGCCCAGGAGGAGATCCACATGGCGCGGCAGACCTCTCCTGACCCGCCCGCTGCTACCCTCAGCAGTGTACTTCCTCGATCTGCCTGTTCTGCTCCCCACTCTGTCTGGTGAATCCTCTCACCCTCCACATCTCTGGCCTGTACCCCAGTTCTGTACGAATAAATAAATAAATCTTTAAAAAAAAAAAAAAAAAAAGAACACTAGTCCGAGAGATGGAAGTAAGAGTGTTGAGATTTAGTGTTGGTCTGATTGAGTTTGTATTTCATGCCCAGTCCTTTGTGATCCTCATGGGCCAGTGATTTGTGTTCCAAGTGACAATTTTCACACTTCCAGAGTAGTAAAGATGGAAATAATCACCACACAGGCCTAGTGTGAGATTATACTCTCTCAAATTGTTAGTATGGCCCCTGGTGCTTAATAAATGCTCAATAAAAATCAGCTGATGACAGAATGAGTCATTGTGGTCCTGGAATAATGCGTTCCTGGGTAACTTGGCTCATTTCTCTGAATCTCGGTTTTCACTGATAGAAACTGCAGCTTTGAATTAAATAGTACTCTTTATTGTATGTCTCCTGTGTCCTCATTCTTTACATTCCTCATCTCTCGGCTTCATAACCACCCTGAGCGGAGATCACAATTTGGTCATCTTGCAAATGAGCAAACTGAGGTAAAGGGATTTTAGACAAATCCTACCTCTGTTCATTAGGGACCAGTTTGACTTAAAAACCTCACGTCTTTCCCTGACCCCATACTGCTTTTTCCAAATGATTTCCTAAGACTCTTTGACTTCGAACTTTAACAATTAATTAATGATGAGACTGATATGTAGAAGAAAATTTGGTAATCTTTTACTAAATGCCTTTTGATAGGAGCCCATATCTACTAAGGTGTTGGGAGGAAGTCCCTACTGAGGCCTTTCATTTGTGGGGACAAGGGAGTTGTCACTTAAAGCAACTTTTTTGGTTCTGTCTCATTATCTTTCTCATCCATTACCTCCATTGAAGGAGTTTATATTAAAAATTTATCCTACTTTCCGGTTGGATCTTCCTCAAAATGGAAATGACCACACAAGCAGATTGGTAACAGGAGTAGGAAATTGATACATTCAAAGCATATCACTTGCCTCAGTGAAAGTCAAGGATAAAAGGGAGGACAAACCTGAAAACCTTTTATTACAAGAAAGAAAAATGGAAATGCTAAGTGAACGGACAAACAAAAGCTCTTCAAGAAGTTGTTGGAAAAGTAATTTCTTTCTCACAGAGGGATCAGATTACCCAAAAGGAGAGGACTTGCTGATTCTGATTTGTATTTGATTCTGGGAATGAGAGGGTTTTTTTTTATTTCAACAGCCAAGTTGTTAAGTTGCCCCATGTAAGTTGTATCTATCCTGTTGTCCCCATACCTATTTCGGAAATTACACGTCTCTACGAGATCTTTTCAAAATATGGGTCCCGTGTGTGTGTATAGCCTCAACTTCTAGAAATCTTGATACTATAATGTATAATAATGATTAATTAATTTCCTGTCGTTTCAGAACAGGGCTGCGTGTTTTTCCTCTTCCTGTCTCCTTCCATGCCTTACATAAAATAGACATGCATTGTCCTTTCTGTTAGATGAATTCACTCATACATTTATATAGTAGCCCCAGTGTGGTCTGGGGTGAAGGAAAGACCTTCTGATGTCAGACGGTCTGTCTTCCTACCTGGGTGAACCTGGAAGACCAAAATTACCTCTCAGCCTCAGAATGCCAGGCCTATGTGGCCAACCACCACCCAGTGTATATGATGGTATATAATGGAAGCAAGGCACTTAAATGAAGCCACGAAATGTAAAATAAGTAAATACTGTAAAGATTGAACATACATCTTTTTCATTACAACTGCATGGGAGAAAAAAAAAAGACATATACATAGCAATTAAAGGCTGAAGAACAAAATGTTCAGTGGTGATTTCGCTGGTATCCTGGGATGTAAGGTGTGAATTTTCTTGTGGTTCTCTATTTTTCAGAGATTCCTTACTTAAAATGGAAACCTTTTAAAAATGTCATGTCTTATTATTACTGGCCAGATCATAGTGATTTCCTTGGAAAGTGCTCCCTTCCTTTCCACTCCCAAAGCCCTCCACACCTCAACGGGGTCTCCCTATTCCAGCCTGCACTCCAACCCACACAACCTCTGTGAAGCTCCCAGAATCTTCACTGACTCGCTTTCTTTTTCTGTTTTGTGTGAGAACTAATTCCTGTGCCTGCCCTTCAGTCCCATGAGGGTCTGATAGCACATTCTTTCCAGCCACTCCCAAAGCCTCTTCACCAATTTCCAACACTAATTTAGGGACCACAGCAGAGATGGGGTCATAACCCATCAGCAAATGCATAGCTTAACTCATACAGTATTCTTACAAAAATTGCGCTAACCTTTAAAAATTAAGATTTCACAAGAGTATCCAAATTTCAACCACTTAAAAAAAAATTGGAAAATCTGTCCAGATGAGTCTATCAGCCCCTCAAGGCTATACAATCTGGCGACAGTTAACAGGAGCTAAGTAGTAGCTGCCCCCTTAAATGGGGCCTGTGTTCCCACCACTCCCAGCATGGCCTCTGGTGACCCACAGGGAAACTGGGAAAAACAGACAAAGGCATTTTTTTCTCTGGGCAGAAACAGCTCCACCCAGAGCACACAGCTTAGCAGTGCAAACTGGACAAACTTCAATCTCTTCAACTGGGCTGAGTTTCCTCACTCAAGGAGACAGTGGCATGACAAAGGAGACAGTGGTGCTGCTGCTGCACATGGGCCCAACAAATGCAGATTGGTCTCTGGTGTTAGGCTCATAAATCTGAAACACCCAGAAGTCTGGCTGTCTTCTCTTCATCTGTGATCCTCTCCTTTGTCTTCGCCCAGTGACTGCCAGCAGCGAGGAAGATTGCCTGTCTCCTCATCAGAAGTGGGAAAAATGCTTCCCATAGCCCTTCAAGAAGAGCACCAAGCTCAACTCCAATTACATCGGTCCATTTTGGTCAGGACAATGCCAGACTCTAATTGATTCAAGGTTAGGTTATTGGAGGGAGATAAGGCAATAGTTTTAAAAAAAATGTTATAAACATTTGATCCAGGATAATGCTTAGCTGTGCCTTGGCCTGATACACATTTTAACACACCTGACACCTCTCTCCTATGCCAGCTCTGCACCTCATTTTGGGATGACTTAAAATGTTCATGTACTAGTTATATCCAGACACTCACTCTGATTGACCAGAACAGCGATAACAGTGGTGAGGAGTGGTCCCTAAAAGCAAAGTCTGGTCCTTAGGAAGAAGAAGGGACTCTGGGGGAGTCATTCACAAATATTTCGTATACTTTCTTCTAGATAGGAAAGAAAATTAAAAGGAAGGCACATTATAGCTGTAAATTTTTAACATGTGATTTCCTTCAGATGTGCTCCTGGTTACTATGGAAACCCTTTGTTGATTGGAAGTACCTGTAAGAAATGTGACTGCAGTGGTAATTCAGACCCCAACCTAATCTTTGAAGACTGTGATGAGGTCACCGGCCAGTGCAGGAATTGTCTCCGTAACACAACTGGATTCAAGTGTGAACGCTGTGCCCCAGGCTACTACGGGGATGCCAGGATAGCCAAGAACTGTGCAGGTAGAGTACAGGAAATCCAAGGTCAGCTACCTGGCCAGCAGGTATGTGATAAGAGCAGATCATTTATCAACACTAATTTGAGATGAATTTATCATGAGGAAATTGTGCCACTTTGCAAGAGCAATGTACCTTCCAGGAAGGTCAAGCCAAAATCATCAGGGATGGATTTTTAATCAGAACCACTATTGTGATTTAGTTTATGAGTAGAATAATCCATGATACTAGCACAGTAAACGTTTGTCTTATATCCTTCCAATTTTGATCAAAAAGAGCAAATCCAGCTTCTATAGATTACCTATTTTTGACAAGAAATAGAATGAAAGCTTGTGTGAGTCTCATCAGTTTGCTTATTCTGAAATGAAGTCCCTTTTTTCATTTATATTTGGGGAAATGACATTTCAGTAAAATAAATTACTAAGCCCAGGGTAGAGTTTAATCACCATCCTCCCCATAATTTATTGAAATAGGTAAGAATTTCAGGGATAACATAAGAAAACTCCCTTGCTAAGCTGAAATGTACAAATTTTATGATTTCTCTAATCCATTTGCTAGATAAAATGAAACTCTTCAGAAGTAAAGTTAAGCTTTCCTCCTTGAGGAATACAGGAAGGCTGAGATTGAGTATTTCTTACTCTTTTGTGACTCTGAGGGGAGAAAGAGTGAGGGAAAGGGATCTCTAAGTCTATTGGAAAATCTCTCTAAGACAGATTCCCACTTGAAGAAGTGAAAGTTTAAAAATACGGAGGAAACATACATGATCTTCAGAAGTCACAACACAAGTAAACTTGTGTATTGGAAAGACACGTACATAGAAGCATAATCCCAGGAATGAAAGAAAGAAGAGAAGGCGTCTGTGTCCAGTCAGATGTCAAAACAGAGAGAAAGCAGGCCCCAGAGCAAGCATTGGCAAAACTGAAACCTTAGATGTTGACATTCTGATTCTCACAACATTTACTCAACTTGGGTTTAAACTCCATAGCTTCAGGAGACTTTAAGGGATGAAGCTCACGTTAGAAGCAATAAAACAATCTTGCTGAATTGTTTAATAAATCTGCATTTTGTGGAACATTAAACAGCTGAAATATAATAAATGTCTCCCTTGAAGCTAATTTTTTATGATTATTCTGAAGACAGTGAAGAGGTGGGAGGAAATTCGCAATTCTATTGTAGCTCGTTGCTAGCATGAACCACTTAGGAAATCCTTTTTAAGTATCACAAATTAATTTCCATTCCCAAACTCAGTGGAAAATAGCCTTATGAGATTGGGTTTTGTTTTTGTTTTTTTTCCCCAAAGCCCTTCTTGAAAATCATTGGTAAAAAAGAACTATCAGATCTTCTAAATACACATAAATCTGCTCTTCATTCTTTCCACCACATTATCCCCAATTATCCTAGAGATAGTTATTTGGAGATTTGGAGTCGGTCTTGCCAAGTGAGTGCTGGGGAGCCAGGAATGACTCCTGGGACTCCTCCCTCACTCCTCAGTGAGCTGTTCAGCTCTCACACCTGGCAAAGATCAACCCTGGAGTTAGATTCAACTGAAGAATCAGCCTTGATGACTACAGTGAGGATGGGCTCTGTGGTTGTTTTGTACCTGGTGCAATCTCCTAGGAGGTTTTTGGACTGAAGTAGTTGCACAGTCATGTCAGAGTCTAAAAAAATGGGGAGAAGAGTCCTCTGGAAAGTTTGGATTCATTTTTGCTCCAAGGTTACTTTTGAAAAATTCACTGAACTGGGTCTTAATTGTGCAAGGAACATCGTATCTTCCATGTGGTCTTGAAAAAGAACATAATTAATCCCCACTGAAGCATTATACACTGATAGTATTTCCAGAAAGTGCAAAAACATTGCCATTGCTTAAGCATCAAGAAATGAATCCCTAATCTCTTGCTTTTGTTTCCCACAGTGTGTGAGTGTGGGGGAGGCCCTTGCGACAGTGTAACCGGAGAATGCTTAGAAGAAGGTTTTGAAGACCCTACAGGCATGGACTGCCCAACCATAAGTAAAAATAACAGTACATGATGACTAACCCCACTTTCTCTAATGTGCTGCAGGTGTAGGATTAAGATGAGCTATATAAAAGCCTCTCTAGAAAGCCTGAGTCCCATTCCTGGCTTTAACTCTGTCTGTGCCTCAACCAAATGGACCTTAGACATAAGATATTCCATAGTCTACTTGATTCCCATTGGCAAACAGGTGATTTACACTTAAACACCTCTATTTTGGAAAATTTATTTTACCAGATTTCTAAATTCAACATCTTATCTAGTGGGTAAAGGCAAAGTCAGAAACAACTCCCAATGACTGAGTTCATTTTAGTTCCTTTCTCCTCAAGTCCTCAGATATTATAAGAAACAGAAATGTCTGACAGCTGGGAAACTGAGATATAAAGAGATTTAAGGCTTTTCTCAAATCACTCCAAATCTGAAGTGACACCAGAAATAAAATATTCAGGTGATAGGAAATGGAGACACCATCTTTTTTCCTCACCTGGATTTTTCTGTTAGTGCTGTCAATCAAATCATAGGTAGTCTTGCTAGAGGTAGAACCTGCTGCCTTTCAGAACAAATGCCCAGCCCCAGTCTTAAGGACTTCTCAAGCATCCTTCAAGTCCTTAACCTAGAAAGATCCAAGATTGATTCGTAGAAGTATTTCAGGAAACCTTTGCTTTAAAAAGCCTTGTATCATGATAGTAGTAGTAATATTTGCCTTTAACTAGAGTGGTTTAAATACTCTAGGTATTTAGGTATGGATTAGGTATCCGCTTTCCCCAAACTAAAGTACCTTAGCACCTTAGTCCCTCTAGATGCAAGAGATTATTATTACATCTTAAATGACAGGGAGGATGGGAGGCACAACAGAGCAAAATTGGCACACTGATAGCACAGGTGCTCCCCTTCCGAAGACCCCTATAAGGACATCAAGGTGCCTGCCTGACCCCATGCATCTCCTCCTGCAGCCTGATGTGCTGACTCAAGAGTCATTCTTTGGAGAGAGCAGACAAGTTAGACAATGTTGAACTTCAAGTAACAAATTAACATATTAACAACCATTAACACCTAAACCTCCATGTGTTCATTCTCTGAAAGAAGGTATGGTCAGGAGGAAAGATTGGGAACAGGGTAGTTTCAGAGAGCAGACAGACAGGTTTCAAGGTATATTCTGCAGTCTGTGATCTACCGAAGGGCACCAGGTTCTCGGGGGTAATGACGGTGGACAGAGGAACTCAAATGTGAAATCCAAATAAGAAATGCCCATGACCTACCTCACTGTGTGCACAGGTACACACTGATCTTTGGCACCATTGTCAGTTGCTCACAAACAAGGTGTCCTGCAGACCCCCTGCTGCTACAGTGGCAGTGTCCAGACATGGGTCAGGTCACGGGCAGGTACTGAACCACCTCTGGGAGGATGCAAAGATGCTGCACTCGAACTTGAGAAAAGGTCATTGAAGCATAGGGGTGCCTGGCAAACAGTTGCCTTCCCTGGTAGAAACCACCCCAAAAGGCCAAAGCCGGACATAAAGAGAGACATCCCAGAGGGCTGTCCCACACTAAAGACAAGTGGGCACAGCTAGTTTCCCCACTATCTCTGAGCTGCCTTGCCCTTTTGTGCTTCCTTTCTTTCTGAGGCCGGGACTTTTCCTGCTGCATATGTTGTTTGTTTTTTGTTGAGCTTCAAGCAGGGATAGGGCTGATGCAGTTTGGTTCATCATAGAGTCTCCTCCACTTTGAGTGTAAGAGCTAGTTCTGTGACCCAGAATAGCTCCTCCAAAACTAAAAATAGAAATAATACTAGCCAAACAAGTTCCCATAATTCTCTACTTAAAGTGGCATGCTTTCTAGTTAACTTTCGCTTTTGAAGAAATAACATGCCCCATGTCCCCCCAGGCTGTGATAAATGCGTCTGGGATCTGACTGACGACCTCCGGTTGGCGGCTCTCTCCATTGAAGAAAGCAAGTCTGGTCTGCTGAGTGTGTCATCTGGAGCCGCTGCTCACAAGCACGTGAATGAAATCAACTCCACTATCTACCGCCTCAAAGTATGTGGGAGTATTGTGCCTTCTGTACATTTTTATTCTGTTTTCACAGGGTTACTCCTAATAACTAATCCCTTTCCCTTCTGGTATCTGAGTCCAGTGGTATATTACAGATTGTTACAACTAGGAAGTTGTGAAAGGTTAATTGTAACCATGAGCTTCAGGCAAAACCAAGATCTGCCATCTATAAAAGAGATTAATATGGAAAATAAAATAACTGGAAAACTAGCATCTATATACAAAGCTATTTTAGAGAAGAGAAACACTTCCTTTGTGAAGCTGTACATTGATTATTAAAGTCATTGCCACAAACTTGCTATTGCCTTAGCCTAACTTTGCAGTGTTTTGAGGAATTTCTCTGTCTCTCTCCTTCTCCCCCTCTCCCTCTCTCTCACCCTTACCTTTCCTTCTTTCCTTTCCCCACACTCATGCTCACATTCAAACTCAGAGACTCACTTGCTGTTTTTCCTCATAGGTCTAATAGTTAATATCTAATAAATGCATTCAAGGCTTCAAGGCACACTACAGTCAAAATCAATGCTTATATAGCTTATCTAGCTAAGCCTTACGAAGTCTGGGTTTTTTCCCCTCTAAAGCATGGGTTTAGTCTATTGCAGCCAGATGATTATTTTTGAGAACAGTGGAATTAATAGCAACACTTTTTTTTTTACTTTAATGCCAAGTTAACTTAATGGCTACGAACAAAATCTTTGAAGACTGCTTGCATTCAGATCTCCAACTTACCTTACCCTTCAGTCTCCTGATTGGAACTGAGTTTAATTCTTCCACCAATCTCATGAGCTGTTGAAAGAATTCAGTATGTTGATACTGCTAGCAGTTAGAACATTGCCTAGTATAGTGAGTGCTTATTACTCTACTTTTTGTCAGGCAAATGGTTTCAAAGCAATTGACCAATTATCAAAGTATAACAAAACAAAAATCACAAAATTATAGAGTTGAATGGGCTCATAGTGAACATGCTCAGGAAGTTATCTTAAGCAAGCATTCTTAGGAATTACTCTTGTCTAAACTTATCTGTTCAGGCACATGAAGACACATGGCACCTTGATGCCGCTTGAGTCCTCTTTCCCCAACAGTACAACTTCAGGACTAGTATACAGGTTTCCCCCACTATCTAAAATTGAGCATGGCTGTGAAAACTTTACAAGCTGAAATAATGAGGAATGAAGAGTCAGTCACCATTAATTAATTTCTTTTTAAGATTTATTTATTTATGCTGACAAAACTGGGGTATAGACCAGAGGTGTGGTGGGTGAGAAGATTCACCAGAGACAGAGAGGAGAGCAGAACAGGCAGATGCACTGAAATACACTGCTGAGGGGAGCAGCAGGAGGGTTAGGAGAGGTCTGTCTCGCCATGTGGGTCAGCTGCATAGCCAGGGATCAAACTCGTGCTGCAGTGGCTTCGGAGAGCTTCATAAAGCAGTGCTTTAACCCTTGTGCCACCAGGGAGAGCCTCACCATTAATTTATGTGAAAATTATTTCTGCATTCCAAGAAACACACACACACACACACACACACACACACAAACCCTTTTGTTATAAAACCTAAAATAACACTAACCTATAGAAGAAGCAGGAATGATGTATTGTGACTGCACACCTATATAAGGTTGTTCCTGAGAAAGGCACTTAGGGTGCCACTCTTCCTGCTTAGAGTACATATTATCTGCAGAGTGACTATTGCAAAACAAAATCTGACAACTGTTTTTGCTTTTTTTCCTTTTATCATAAAAGCTAAAATCCTCTTCAGATTTCTTTTGATTAGTAAAGGCAGGCAATAATCCAGATCTGTTGTAAAAGTGAAGTGGCATAACTTGAACTTTCCAAAAGTGGAGAGAGGTATAACTACAGTGATAGACACTGGATTCCAAGATTAGAAGGACTTTCTCCAAAGTAATCTGAGGAACATTACATTTGGAACAAACTCCTCAAAAACAAAGAAGGGTAAATGGTCTGAAATAAAGACAAGAAAGTGAATTTCTAAACTTCAATTTATATTGACTCAGGTGGGTTGATGGTCTTCCTGCAAGCCTTACCAAAACTGAAATTTTAAACTTAGACACTCAAAAGTCTGTACTGTCCTGTTGTGCAAATTAGAAAAGGGTGTCCTTCCCATGTGGCTATCGATGGGATCACAGGCCAGGATTGCAGCTGCTGAGCAGAGCTCACAGAATTCAGCCCCAGAGCCCTAGTGCCATCCCACAGACTCCAGCCTTCATGCAGGCCTGCAGCAGCAGCCCGAGATCCATTATTTTGAGAACAGAGGTTCACACTTTATGCTGCGTGTTCTTACAGTGAGTTTTATTTATAGTTTTATAAACCTGTTGTGCACATCTGCTGATTTTTTCAACAACTTTTTCCACAGACAAAATTGTCAGAAAGAGAAAACCATTATGTCCTGAGAAAGATACAAATCAACAATGCTGAGAGCACAATAAAAAGCCTTCTATCTGACGTAGAAGAATTAGCTGAAAGGGTATGTATTTGGTTTCTGGTGCACCTTCAGAAAAAGGATTTTATTGGTGTGAATTTGACTACTCGAAAAAGACTGAGGCTTGCATAGTCCCGGAAAAAATGCAGTGATTCATGTAGCGTTGAAATAATTCAAGGCAAAATCTGTGGAGAAAGTTAATATTGTTGATCTATGCCCTCTCTTCCACTTTTGATTAGTTTCCTTGAAAATCTGTTGGTGGGAATTTTCATTGTATTTGCTGTGGGTTAATATAATGGATGTATATCTTAATTGATGTAGTTATTTGACTGTTTACCTTAGCTTATTTATTTATTTACTTTTAACTGAGGTAACATTGGGGTACCCATCAGGTATTTACTACCATAGCAATTCACCACCAACCCACCCATAATCTACCTTCACAGATCATTATTCTTAGCATTTTACAGTGAAAAGCCATAGAACTTTCAGGTATAAACTCTATTCTATACACTATGCATTTAAATGTTTGCTAAGAGATGCATTAATTAATGAAAGGAAAGAGGAGAAATACTGAGAAAGCAATTTTGTAGTTGGCAGGAAAGGTAATCACTTTCAACCCTCAATACATACCATACACAGATAAATTTCAGATAAGTTAAAGATTTTAGTTTAGATTTCAGAAAATAAATGTTAATAATTTTTAAACTTTGAATTTCAAGTGTATTTTGAACAATACACTTGAATTTAGCATGAGGAATTACAATAGAAAAAGATAATGTGTCTGACAAGATAAAATTTCAAATAACCAGTAAAACTTTATAGTAAAAGCATCAACGAGACTAAAGAAAACATTGAGGGAAATATGACTTGTAAAAGCTCTCACAAATTAACAAGAAAAACACTGAAATATGGACAGTGTTAAGGGAAGAGCTATTAAATTCACTCCTGAAAACCTTTGTACTAATGAAAACAGAAATAATTCTCAAGGCACCATAGTTAGCAAATTAAAATGTTTTAACATTTTTTTTCCAAATTATGCACCATCCGTGCTGTGTAGAATGCTTTGAAAATTTTTGCTATCAGATGCTAGTGTTTGACACTATAAACTTGAAGTACTTCTCAAAAGCAATTCTCATTTTCTCAATAAAAGAGCTTAAAATAATTTCGATACTCTCTTTTTGCCTTGGACCTCTTAAGCTTTTTAAGATACTGTGCTTCTAATAATGTGAATTATTCTAACTGGACCTTCAGCTATTTTGAAATGCATATGAAAATTGCATTCTTCCTTCCCATGCAATGGTGCCTGTTAATCCAACCAGAGGCACTTAAGAGCAGCAAACATTCTTACGTTTCAAAGGAAATTCCAAGAAAGAAATCTTTATAAAAAGTCAATTTTATTTCATTTCAGTCATGGTTGGAACTTGCCAAGTATGTCTCAACCAAGATTAGTTTATCTCACAGCTCAGACTTAGAATTACTGATCCTTTTGTTGTACAATTTTTCCACCTCCAAAATAAGTTAAATGTAGGCTTTCAAAAGGAAGAAATAATGCAAGCTGAAAATGACATCACAGTATAAAAAATTCCTCGGCAACAGCAGGCCACCAAAGCAGGAGATTGATGATTATGCTACTGGAATGTTCACACAGCTGTTTGCGTTGATTCTTATTGAAAATAATGCTCTGATGGTGCAAGAATTTGCTGGAACATTTCAAAACAAATAGCCACTGCTGGTCTTAATACCTCCTCAGGCATCCATGAAGTCCTTAGTCTAGTGAAGTCCATGACTTATCCTCAGAGGATTCAAGAAAAGCTTTGTCTCAGAGAGGTTTCTATCAAGAAAATAATGAATATTGAACTTAAATAGAATGAAATATTTCCCCTTGATGTCTCACAGCAATAATAATAAGTAAAAAAATAAGTAACAGTAATGTCTCCTTTTACAAGTAATACCTCTGTTTGCAATTCACCTGAATGTCACGTGACCCAAATCTCACAATGGACATCAAGCTAAAGTTACTGGTTTTATTGCAGCCATCATATTCCAAGTCCTCTTGCCCCACTTGAGAAATCCTGCAGCCTCTGCCAACCCCCTGCTTCTGGAAACCCCCTAAAGGCTGCCCATATGCCAAGTACAAAATTATGTTCATAGCCACTGCTTAAAAGGGCCTCACTTTTACCTTTGCTGATCACGTGTATAATGAGAGTGCCAAAGTCTTTGTGTCCAGATCCACTCTCCCAAGTTCTGAGCCACCGTGTTCCAAGACAAAGAGTGACAGCCGAGGAGCAAAAGTGAAGGCCATGGTCCCCTCCCAGGAGGAGGTGACATGAAGAATAAGATCACCTTCTTGTTGCACATTATCTAATTTTAAAATGCCTGGACTTTTTGGGTTTTTGAAAAGCATTAGAACAAGTCAAGGAACTCAGGAACTCAGACTGAGGAGCTCAGTGACTCAGACTACAGTGTCCAGTGTCTTTTTAGAGAACCCATGTTCAGGGGAGAGAGCAGTAGCTGCATTACTGCTGCACAAGGATCTTTGTATGGAAGAGATTTTGAACTTGTCCATTCAATTTTTAAAAACCCTGAAGCATGTGCTTATTTATCTTCGTACCATTTCTATCGGTATTCGCTTCTTAAACTAAAGGGTTACTTGATGGGGTTATGCCTTGGAAAGTATAAAAACATTCCAGGAATATCATGGCATCATCATCTAGGTAGGATACTGGGTGGAAGGAGAGACTTTGACATATCTGTTTCCTTCCTGGGGAAACTCCAGTGTTTCTGCAGGGCTCCTCATGGTAGAAGACCCTGCGGCCCATCCAATCCTGTAGTACTTTGCTACAGAACTGAACCCAAAAAGCATCAGACCAGACTGGTGGGCATTTACCAAATGCCAGACTGGAGACTCCTCCTCCTTTTAAATATAGCCTATGAACGAATCTTTCTAATGCCAAAAGGAAGTCTGTGCCCCCATGCTGTGTGTAAAGGCCAGTGGCTGGGTCTGGAACCACTTCTTAGATCAGCTTCTATCATTGCACACAGGGAGAAGTACACACACATATCCACACCCATACACCCTTTGTCCAAAATTCATATTTGAGTTGGGATTTGAATTTGACAAATGCTATGTGAAATAAGCTTCAGGCTGAGAAAATGAAGTCAGCTTCTCAGAAAAGAACTCCATTCACTCTGAGCCAAATCTGCTTGAGCTGTTATTTGTACACAAGTGCCATCGCATTGATGGGAATTTGGAAGTTGGCACTGAAAATGCAGTTAGCCAGGGAGCATAATCCTTTATAGCTTGGTGGCGATTCCACTTCAGCAGTGGTTGGACCACCCAAGAGCCTCTGAATGCACGGAGCATTTCAAGATCGGCCTCCTTTCCCATCACTTTTCCCTTTGAACCTTTAAGCCTGTCAACTAGCACAATCTCAGACTGATCAACAGACATGGGTAATTTCCTAGTCTGGCATCTTGAGACAGAGTCAAAATTCAAAGGGTAAATGACATATGAAAGGCAGTTGGTTTGGACTGAACTGTGACTGGTGGGTTAGGAATAGTATCTGATTTTATAGCATTCTGTAATTCTAAAGTTGGTCATCACAGCAGCCTACATACATGATTTCTGGGACCATTTTAAGTAATAGAACTTTCACATGTCAGGGAAATTTATGTTTAAGTGCTTTCCCACCCAGCCCATATACATTTCTTTTTCATAAAATTAACCTAGTGTTTATATGAATTGCTTGTAGGAAAGTCAAAGCTCAAGAAAGGGTCAACTGGCTCAAAAGGAGAGCATGGATACCATTAACCACGCCACTCAACTTGTAGAGCAAGCCCATCATATGAGGGATAAAATCCAAGGTAAATAAATGTGTCCTTTTCTGGCTCAGCTTGATGGCAAGCTATGAACAACCTGGAATAATGGCTACTGTTAGTCCTTACTCTGTACCGTGAACTGTTGCTAGAATGTTATAGGCTTAAACTTGCGTAGTCTTTACTACAAGTTTGTTATCTGGGATTTTGGGGCACTCATCCTTACTGCCCACTGTTGATTTTCAAGAATAAATATACAGAATCATTCCCTTTGCAGGCATTTCACAGAAGTAGCAAGCCAGCGTACCTTTTGGCAGAGTTTGCATGCATTGGTGTCTCTGAAATGACTCCAAATTGGATTGAATAGGAGAAATGATTTTTTTTTGCTATTTGCAGACAAAGTACTATCTTAAGAGTGGCAATAACTGCCTACTATACCATCCCTAGGATGTTCTTTCTCAAGACTTCCTCTGGTTCCTACTCCAGTAGAAAATTGGGAAGGGGTGCTATGAAGTTTCTTTGCCCTAAAGTATTATGGCAAATTTTACCTTTCCTTTTGGACCATTGCTTATTTCTGCCCTATCTGCTGATGAGTGCAAGTTTTATTTTGAAGACAACCTTCAGTTTGCCGAAAGAAAATAGGCAACTTCATTTGTTTCAAGATAAAAAGAATTTCCTTAGGTTGCAGTCTACTAAGATGCAGTATTTGTGTTTCCATAGTTTTTCTTATCCTACATATGAAGAGCTAGATAACAACATCACATGATCCTCAAGACACATTGGCCTGGAGTAAAGGAAGCCACAATGGGAGATTCTTATCTTTATACAGAGGTATAGGATGTGTGTTCCAAGTAAAGGGATATATGAAGCCAAGATGGTTATATTTCCTTTGGTGCCTATAAAACATGATAAAAACACATGCCATGCATTTCAAATGTTCCCACTTCCCCTTCTTACTATTTCACACTTATATATTAATGAAACATTAATTTCATATAACACGTTAGAGTTACTATTGACTTGTCCAAAAAGGAAACTAGATTAGCTGACTTCCTCTAATTAAGAAAGAAATGCCCCTTAAGGCAGTAGATAAAGTCAGCATCCAAGGAAGCTATTTAGAGAAAATAATTCCCTTTGCTTTTGTAACTCAAATTTTGATTTGAAGGTGTTTTATTTGGAAAGCACCTAAACCCTCTTATTGTACCCTTTCAGCACAGGAAAGTTGAAAACAGCCCAAAAGAAATGTAAATGGGAAACAATAATTTCCTTCATTTATTTTTACCTTTTAAAAATAATGAATAGTTTCCAAAGACAAAAATATTGTTTACCTTTCCTTTTTCTAATCTATATCAAAAACAGCTAAAGCACAATTGTAAATATAATATTTGCATCAAAATGCCAAATAATTCAGCATTGTTAGTGCTAGATGTAAGGGGGGGACATCAATTTAGTTTATTTCAGGGGTTCATATTTTATAATTTAAAAAAATAAATGTTTAATTGCTTTATAAGTTTTTTTTTAGTGTATCTTGTTTTTCCTGTAACTTTCTCAGTAATATATCTTTAAAATCCTCTTCCCCCACTTCTCGCCACTGTTTGAAAAGTCAAGAATGCTCTTATATGCCAGTAGTATGTCATTCTTTATTCCCAACCATCTTAAAATAACTACTGGTGACCTTCGGCTATTATCCACATAAAATACAAGTCCTTTTCCTGGTTCTGATTTATATATCCTAGTGTTTGTTCACCCAGCATGACCAATCACACAGATCATAGTAAGCCACAGACACACAATTTCATTTATGTCAGGAAGATAAAAAGCTTCCTCCAGTGCTGCTGTAGGACAAGGTGGCAATTGCATAACTTTTATCTGATCCATGTAGAGGAAGGGGGAGTCAAAGAACTATTAATGTCTGCGAGTACCTAGACCCTCATTTCATTCTGAGCCTCAGAAGCCTCTTCAGTTATCAAATACTCCATCCTATTAATGGAAGTGGAGTGAAAATGACCCAGAGGCAAGAAAAGACACACTCTTAACAAGTGGTCTTATTACAATAAGCAAATCGAATCGAAATATCTGTATGTCTCTCTCCACATGCCAGTCCTCACCTCACACTATAACACACCTCTAATTGCATCATTCTGTAGGGGAATCTGAAAGACTCTCTTGACTACCTATCAATATCTCTCATTTTTGCTTAGAATCTTGATCAAATTCTTGTCTAAAACAGTTAATATCTCCAATGCATCCTACATAAAACAGAACAGTTTCTCCAGGCGATGTGTTTTCTATAAAGGGTTGTTCAAAGACCCCAGATTTGTTAGCATGAATTAGCATTCTCTGTTTACTGAGGAAACCACCTGCAGTTGGCATCAGGGGCAGGCTGTGCTTTGCTTCCTTTCCCTTTCTGGAGATGGCAACTGGGGCCAGATTTCGCCATTAAGATTGCCCACCTGCCTCCATGCAAGTGTCTCTTAGCAAACTTTCCCCTTTCAGAATGCAGCTCTCTGCATGTTTGTGTCTATGTGGAAGTCTTTTTTCACTTCATTTTCCTTTGTAAACTTGCTGTGTGCTGCTGAATAAAGATGGGGGACACCAATGGGAATCAAAGAAGTGGTGTGGTATCCTTAGGTTTACTTCTCCCTGAAAGTGATCCCCAAGGACACCCCCACTTTCCAAAGCATGAAGCTCAGTATGCTGTCTTTGAAGGAAGCTCTTTCCACTGTGGTATCGACCCTGCCCTTTGTCTTCATTCACCTGTGATCTCAGTGACAACAATGTAAAATACCTTGTTGTCTCTTTCTCTTACTTATCTCACTTTTCTTTCCTTTCAGAGATCAATCAGAAGATGCTGTATTATGGAGAGAAACAAGAACTTAGCTCTGAGGAAATCTCTGAGAAGCTGGTATTGGCTCAGAAGATGCTAGAGGAGATTAGACAACGTCAACCATTCTTCACCCAACGGGAGCTTGTGGATGAGGAGGCAGACGAAGCCCATGAATGTAGGTGCATTCAATTTGTAATCCCCAGCACTTGTCTGCCTTCTTTGCGACTCCTGGAGAGGACAGAGTCTCAGGGCAACATTTGGTAAAATCAACACATCCCAAACGTTCAGAGCTCTTTAGAATTTATATTTGACAGGGTATCAGAATTGGCTCAATCTTGAACTTTTGAGACACAACTGAGATTCCACAGGGAATCTACAGAACTTTTACTCCTGAGATGAAATTGGGATGTAGCAGTTGATTAAAAACATTTAAAATGGGGGGGGGGATGATGGTTAAGGAAACCACTTTCTGGAATAGGAAAGGAAATCTTGAGAGGAAAATAAAACTACAAACCCACGAACCTCATGAAATCTGCAAATGACTTAATGACTTTTAACCCTTCGTGATGAAAGTAGGCAACACTACATTAGTACTAGCAACTCTATCACTTGGTCACTGTATCAATAATCAAAAAAATAACAATCCACTCCAAATGTATTCATTTAAAATAATAGCCACTTATATGTTCTTAATTTCATGGGTTAGCAATTTGGGCTAGACAGCTCATCTCTGTTCTAGATGGCATGGAGTTAGCTTACTCAGTGTCTGGGACCTTCTCTGGGATAACTGGGTCTCATACTCCACGTGGTGTCACCCTGTAGGAGGCTTACCAGATTGTTCATGTAGTGATAGCTTTTGAAGAGGGTAAGATGGAAAATGAAGGGTCTTTTGAGACTTGGAACTCGACAAAATCTTTGTCTATCCTACTTGTGAAGACCAGTCCAGAGATAGGTGATAAGAAAAGACTCCATTTTTGATGGGAAAAAAAATTACAAAGAGTTTGTGTTCATTTTAATCTATGCAATCAACAAAAGAGGCCACAGATTTACTTATTTTACATATTACACACTTGAACTGTTATCTTACAAAATTAAGTTAATCAATAATTCAAATCAGTTGTTATTGACCCCACCTCTAGGTTTTGTTATTCAGTGCATTAGTAAAGAATTACATAAACTATTATACTGCCAATTTTTTTTTAATATATTGGTCTCCCTTTCCATTCTGTGACATTCATGTTTAAAACATTTTAAAAATGGATCTAAAGTCTTCACTAGATTGCAAAAGGATTCCATGGAACAAAAAAGTTCAGAACACCTCTCCATGATTATTTTCTTACAACTGTCACTATCAATTTTTGCTAACAATTACTATGATACTCTAAAGGACTATTCTTCTTGATATAAAGGAAAATTGCACTAACAAAAACAAAAAGTCTTAGAAATAATAAGAAAAGACCAAAGTCCCATTTCTAAGTGAGGATGAGGTCAACATTCGTGAATTCGGGAGCTCTGCGTTCACAAGTAGAGGCTTCCAATACCCTTTTCTACTTTGACAATCATATCTCCAACTTGGCCCCCTTCCACCTACTGAATACATGTTCAGCCATTTTATTTGTTCAACCAGGAAGTTATATCTTCTACTCACAGTAACAAGAAAAAAAAATACAGACCCATAGCAAGACTGACTGATAATTCTCACAGAAAATGTAATTAAGGCACATTGCCAATGCATGTATGTTTGGTTAAAGAATTAAGACACATACAAAATTTAAAAATTTATCATCGCCATGCAATCTTCATTCCACCCAAAGTAGTGATTTTGGTTTGACCTAAATGAACTAACTAGTAACAGTTGTCTGCAGAGGATACAGAGTAAGTGATTGTGAACATCACTTGTCAGTAATGGACAAGATTTTTTTCATTATTTGTAATAGTAAGACTATACTATAAATATATCCAAACCTCCTTCATTTGATAAAATAATTAATAACCTGGGTAATAATAAGCATAGTATAATAACACATAAAGCATAATCTTAGTGGGAAAACAAGTCAAACCTTTCTTTTTGCTGACCTGTCCAGGGACTCAAATCCTACAAAATAGCATTGTTTTTCTTCAAATGTAAAACATAAGGCTATTTTTGTGAATAACAATTTTGATCTCTATTGCTGAAGAAGGCGTAGGCTGACAAGTTTGTATGTTTGCCAGATTCTGGATGGAACTGGAAGAGATAAGAGAAACCCAGATGAGTCTCTATGTCCTTTCTTTCTAGTGTTGAGCCAGGCTGAGATTTGGCAGCGACTCTACAATGATACTCGCTCTCTGTTTCCTGTTGTTCTGGAGCAACTGGATGATTACAATGCTAAGCTGTCAGACCTCCAGGAATCACTTGACCAGGCCCTTGACCGTGTCCGGGATGCGGACGACATGAACAGGGCTACAGCAGTCAGGCAGCGGGAGCACGAGGTATTGTGCTCACTAATTAAAAATGTATTTCCGGCATAATCAACATCAAGAAGGAAAGCTGAAGTACAGTTTTTTAATACTAGTATACTTAAATATTCATTCATTTTAAATATTTGTACTTTTCACACAGTACTTTGTTTATTTGTATGTGTATGTCAAATCAAGTCGAACCCTTCTGTTTAGTTCTTGCATTAATAAGAACTCAGTTGTACCAGGGGCTTGTGTTCATGTGTATAAGGTGTTGCTTCTACCAGTGGGTCGGATGCTCTATTTCTATGTGACTTAGACTGAGCAGGTGGAGCTTGAATACTGAAGCACTCTGAGTAGAGCTAACAATGCAAAATTCTTAGCTTTTAGGATCTGAAACTTTCTTTTATTGAAATTGACCATTTTTCTATGGCTATATCAGTATTGGTTTCAAAGTTTGTTTATTCATCTCTAATGCTACATGTAAGGGGAGGAAGCTGGAGGATACCGTCTTCTAGCTACTGCAAATGAACTTCTCACTCTGTGCTGCTTGCACATAACCCTGAAGTGTGGTGATGACCTTGGGTGTTAGCAACATTCTCCTAAAGAAACCCAGACACTGGACCTGGCAGAGGATCATATCTCTGACTCTGCAAAGGAAAACTGCTCTACAGAAGGAATACAAACCTTTTTTTTTTTTTTTGATTTCCCTTCTTTAGATATCTGAATATACTTGATTTAAAATACAGCTTTTGTGTGGAGATAAGAATAGTTAACCCCAGGTAATCATACTATATTAAGCTTAATGGGTATAAAGGAAAAAAACTTTTTTTTAAAGTTCTTGCATTAGGAAGCTGTTTCAGTGGAATTCTTTTCTGTTCCTTGACCTTTCTCTTCCCTGTCGCAATGTATTTGGAGACTATGGGTTCCATGCTTCCTTTCTACTAAATCAGGAAAGACTGCAGGGAGTAATAAAGGATATTACGTGAACTTAGGAAGATTTAAACTATGTCCCATAGCTAGTCTATAATTATTTCTATAACATCCTAGATTATATGATAACTGACATACTTCAACTCCAATTTAAATAACCATTTTTAAAATAACTTCAACTTATTTTGATTCACATCACTTTTCCCTCCTAAAGTTTCATCCTATGTTGCTTTTAAATACTGAACACATTTTTTTTCATTTTTTTTTTATTTATTACAAAGTTTATTTTTACATTATTTTGCACATTTTTTTTTTCCATCTCGATTGTAATCCCCGCGGGTTTCCCATCACCAAATCACCCCAGTGCCACCACCATAGTCCCGTGTATTTCCCTCCCTTCCCCCCCACCCCGTTTTTGATCCCATTCCCCACTCCACCCCCACAGAATGTCTCTGGTATATGGTTGTTCATTATTTTTGTTATTTTCTCGCCTGGTCCATTATACTCCTGCTATGAGTGAAACCATCCGGTTAAATACTGAACACATTTTTAAAGCTCCATAATATTTCTTCAAAAAATCACAACACCCCTGTGTTTGAAATCCAAAGATGAATATAACAATCAGGTCATTTATCAAAAACTTTATTAGAACTCAGACAATTTCTGTTCCCAGAACGTCTGCCTACCTAACAAAGAGCACAGAGTACTATGCAGCAAGATCACATCTTATGCTTTGGCAATAGGATCATTAAATAATTTTAAGGGGAATCTAAGATTGTTTTGTGTATGCTTTCTCCTGCCAAATGAGCTATTTGTGTTGGGTTCAAAGTTAGCATATAATAAGTGCTTTTTTGAATCAATTCATTTCCTACCAGAGTAAACACAGACTTTACATTCAGTCCTATATCCTTAGCGTCACTGCATTTAGAGAGGAGAGTCCAAGGTCCTCTTTGGATTGTTAACCCTTTTGAGAGGATGATATTGCAGATGCACAATCAAGTGCTTCAAAGCTCCCAAGGTACTCACTTTTGTTATCTCCATATTTAAAAAGAAACTGAGCATTTGTCAGGTAGAATCCCCATAAGTTAACATTGCTTTCAGGTGGTGGTGTTAGGAACTTGAGTCCCCCCGAGTGCAGTGACCACAAGTTGACCCGTGCCACTCACCCTATTTTTTTTTTATCTGAAGCGACCTTCTCTTTCTCTCTCCCCTGACTTCCTTCCCATAGAAACAACACAAGAGAGTCAGTGAAAAGGTGGAAGGGGTGAACGCTTCTCTGCAGATGTCTTCAGACTCTCTGGCAACAACTCATCTGACCCTCTCAGAACTTAATGAAATTATAAAGGTAAGGAACCATGTGTAACTTGCTCACGTTTGTATTTATAGAAATTTGGTCAGTGATTCAATGTCATGGAAGAATAGTCGAATTTGATTCAAACCTATCAAGGTAGATGACATAAAAATAAGACCAGGAGACTTTTATTTTTTCAGTTTCTTTCTTTATACAGTAGCTCGAAGTTATTCATGGATACTTCAGTTTAAATTTAGATTACTTAAAGTGAAATAAATTTCAGTTTTACTTCCTCGGCCACATGAGCCAAATTTCAAATGCTCGGTATCACATATGTCGAGTGGCTGTTAGATTGGATGACACAGATACCATTACAGAAAGTTCTATTGAAAATACAAATCTACATCCATTGTACTCACTCTTGACTCATTAAATTGAGTGTTGAATAAAGCTTACGTTCAAGATCAATAAAACTCATATTTAGAAAGTAGAACTTTTCCATAAAATGCAGTGATCCAAGCCTTCCTGAGATTTCTCTCAGCTCATTTTTACTACCTTTGAGCAGTTATCACTTCAGAGTCATCACATCCCTGTTTCAGTCATTGATTAATTCAGCACCAAGTTTCCTCTCTTTCCCTCCATCCCAGTTCCCATCACTACCCTTGATGACTTCAAAATCCAAGTGGATGAGCTAACTAGCTCTCAGTCCTTTAGCTCCTTGAATTGTGTCCAATAAGCTTTTCTCCCAGCTCACCTCTACGATTAGTCCCAGGCCCATACTTGCTGCCATAGTGCTATTTCCTCCCAAATCCTAGTTTCAAGTATCTCCTTGAATTCCATCCCTTAACTCACTTTCTCTAAATTGCCCTGCCCAACAGTTCTCTGGCCCCATTAAAACCTTTTTCATCTCACCTACCCCAACCCTCTGAAACCTTCTCCTCCCTACTTAAATGGCTAAGAACAACAATATAATCTAATCATTCTTTGCAAACACCCTTAACCTCCATACTATCTATTCCTCTGTGATATTCACCAGAGGATTCACAGCCTTAGTAAAGTCAAACATCCCCAGTCTTGTGACCAAGCAGAGTAGCCAACATAACTAGCAGAGAACTTGCCTCTCCCTCTACCCTTTTCAGCTGGTAGAATTACTACTTGCTTCAACAGAAACAAAAACAACTTCCTCCATCTCTCTCCCCCAAATCTGCCAGCCTATTTACATATGTGTCTCCCTAGTTGATCCCTTTGTATCTCATGGCTTTAAAAAACAATTACATACATGATTATACCTCCAGCTCTGATCCCTCCACTGAATTCCAAACTCAATCCAAATACTTACTTAATGTTTTAAAATAAAACTCACTGTGGTATGTAGCAAAATCACAATTTCATCTAGCACTTACATGTATAATAGGCATATGAAATACAGCATGTTTTGAATAAATTCATTTTTCCTATTCTCTCCTGTCTCAGAAAATGACACATCCCAAATGTCCAAATCAAAGCTGTAGGGTCATTCTTGATTTTCCCTTTTTCCTCACTTTTATTTCAGCAAGACATATTTGCACTGTGTCCAGAATGAATCCTGACTTCTGCCCCATACCCTCTTCTCCATTGCTTCTCTTTTTCTGAGTCCCACACCTCCACGGTGGACTGCCACCAGAGCTTCCAGCTCTGATGATTTGCCTCCACTCTTGCCTCAAGTCTCATGCAATAGCAGAAAAATCTTTAAAAATCAGGTCAGATTACATGATTTCTCTTACCTGTAACTTGAAGTGACATTTGATGTGAGAAACATACTCGTTTTACAATATAACCCATGAGGCTGTAGTGACCAGAATCTGGCTCACCTCTCTGACCTTATATATCACTCAGTCATTCTCCCACTAAACTCAAGCCCACTCCTCTTTGCTACATTCCAACTCTACTTTATTTTCAAGCACATCATACTTTTCCTGGCCTCAGGAGGACTGTTGCAATTGCTGTCCTCAGATCTTCAAAAGACTGATTGTGAGTATTTAAGCCAAGTGAGTCTCTTATCTTCACTCATGCTCCAACCCACATATCTTTTGTATTTCATTCAAAATAGTTTTTACTACCTTGTTCACTTCTTTGATTTCTCATTATTCATATTTTCCTCACTAGACTGTAAGTTGGTGCGAGACTTTATAACTATTCTATCTCGTGTAAGAAGGCTTGTCACATGATAGACACCCCCTGAATATTTGTTGACTGAATAGAGGAAAAGTGGAATGTCTACAGTATTTTATAATTAAAAACAATTTATATAATTAAAACCAATTTTTTGCAAAGTATTTTTCCTTTAACCTAATATATGGAGGCTTAAAACTGTTTCTACAAAAACAAATCCTATGTGCTACAAAGTGTACTATATTCTGGAAATACAAAAATAAATTAAACATAGTTTCTGTCTCCCAGAATTGTATATTCTGGTGAGTGTAATACTCAAGTAAAAGGATTAATGTGATGTGGTAAGTAGTTAAAAGAAAAATATGTGACAGCACTAAGCTTTTTGCGGGGGAGGTTGGAGATGGATTCATAAAGGAAGTTATATTTTAGCTGAATTCAGATATATAAATACAAATTTTCCAGGTGAAGCAGACAGAAAGAAAGGAAAGGTATTCCAGACAAAAAAAATATATATGCAAGGATGAGGGCCAAAAGTAATAATGGAACTTTAAGTCAAAAGTTGTTAAGTTTAGACTATAAAGTGTAGTGGGGTTGGAGGTGGTAAGAAATGATGAAAGAGATGAAAGAGGAGGAGGTCAGTGAATGACACTGTTTTAAGTAATTGGATTTGATCCTAAAAAACAATTGGCTGATTTTAAGACAGAAAATAGTTTAATCAGACACGCTTAAAAGAAAAATCACCATTCCTGCAGGATGATAGAGAATGGATTAGAATATTGAAAAACTGGGTTGTAAGAGAGGAAAAAACTGAGTTAAGTCTGGAGGAACACCAAATGTTATTTTCTCTTCTTAGTCAGTGCACATTCCTAAGGCGACAAGGAATGATCAGTGTCCCTAAGGAGAAGTGTATTCAGTTTCATTTATTTCGTTTTCAGATCAGAGATGGCAGTGCATGTCTGAATGGTAAGGAAGCAAGGGATTTGAAGATGCAAGAGAACAGAGATCAAGATCCTTCTGTAGTATTTTTGAGTCATGTAGACCTAGCCTGAAATTTACTGAAAGGAGGATTAGAGATTATCTTTCGGTGCTTCCAGAGAAATATGCTTGAAATTCTTCTAAATTAAATTCATTTAAAAAATATTTTCTTTAGAATACATCAGGAGTTTATGCTGAAATAGATGGAGGCAAAACTGAACTACAAGGAAAATTATTCAACCTGAGTAACCTCAATCCTGATTTAGTCCAAGAAGCTATTGATCATGCACAAAACCTTCAACAAGAAGCTGATGAATTGAACAGGTAATATTCTGGGTTTGGAATGCAAATATCGCCATATACTGAATTACATCTTTATTTCCAATTTCACATGCCATATTTACTGGGATCCAGGTTAAAAAGTTGCTTTTCTGGTTAGATTTGCTTCTTGGTTGGTTGGTCAATCAACCATTGCTCATTATAATTGCTTCGGGGAGACATTTCTTTAATCTAAGAAAATATCTGTCAGATTAGACAACTATGTTGGGAATGGGGGGGATTCTGTTCCATGATTATTAGTGGGATGACCTAATGCATTTTGGTAAAAGATTAACAACTGCACAAAATATATAAATAAATCAGATCTCTTGACATCTGATTCTAACATCATCACCTATTTATTTCATAGACAGCATTAGCCTTCCACAACCAAGTATTTGAAATAAAGCTGGCTAGAAGCTGGCAACACACCTGACTTCTGGTAAATACTCTAGGTACTCTAGTGCACCCAGCAGGAACTATTTGATTTCAACACCTGTTAAGAGAAAGTCAATTGACAGTTTTCTCCCAGCATCTAGAAAAAAGTCATGTACCCTTTGGGCACTCAGTTAATGTTAATTGAAATGTACCAAAAGTTAGATTGAATTCATGCCCTGAAACAATAGCTGAGTAACAAGATAACTATAGAGAAAAGCTACACATCTGGTAATTAAGGACAAGGAACAATAAAAGTCATGAATAAAATAAGAGCCAATATTAACTTCTGTTCTTAAGTCACCTCTTATTCCTGATGACCAAAATTTCAAGCCTCCTTCCATATCTCCTAAAAAACAGAGAGAGCGAATATGAGAATGAGAGAGAAAAGGTATGGGGGGTGGTGAAAGGAGAGGGAGAGAGATGGTCATGAAAAATCTTCATGTGTGAGATGGGATTATATTTAGCTCAGTTGTGCCCCCAGAAAATGTGCTTTTGATTAAAATACTCTTTTGACAAATGCCGTATTTCATAGAATATTGGTTTTGAGCTCCATCCCGACTCTCCTTATCAACCTTTTATAAGTCTAGTGACTGCTTTCCACTGAGACTTCCCAGAAACATACCTGCTAGACACCCTGTTCTGCAAGTGTTCTGGCATGACTCTAAGCAAATTACCACATACTTTATACAGATGTTTCCAATAAAGCATCTGGTAATGACATCTTCCTACAAAATGTGACATCTTCCCTACAAAATGTAAATATTCTTCAGCCTCTATCTGATGTACTCCATGATTGGCTCCTTGGTCCCCAAACACTGGTAAACTTAATTCATCAAGAAGCTTCCATACCAAAAGAACATTTTCTTTATAAAATAATGAAATAGTAGACTTGTTTGGTGGCTAACAACTAAAGCCAAGTAATAAAGGCTATGTTTCAAGTTGGTGTATCTTCCTACAACTTTAAAAATCAAATTTTAAAAAAATATTCATAAATATTTGTGAAATGTTTTTCCTTGTTTTTTTTTTTTTAAGATTTATTTATTTATGCATGTATAACTGGGATACAGGCCAGAGGTGCAGGGCAGTGAGAGGCTTCACCAGAGACAGATGGGGAGCAGAACAGGCAGATCGATGAGGTACACTGCTGATGGGAGCAGTGGGTGGGTCAGTGAGAGGTCTGCTGGCCATATGGATCACCTCCAGGGCAGGGATCAAACTCATGCTGAAGTGGCTTCTCAGTGCTGTGCTTTAACCTGCTGCACCATCAGGGAGGGCCAAAATGTTTTTCCTTTTACTCCTTTCCTTCAAAACTTCCTCAGTTTTTACTCTGCATGTGATTCCTAAGGCCTTGGAAAAGAAAAAGTAGCAAGCTTTTGCATTAGAATTACCTCTGCAGAACAAAGCTGCATTTTTAGGACTTTTGTGGCTCAGGGCACTGAGCCTTCCTGGTGGGACTCTGACCCCATAAAAAAAAGATTAAAAGGCCCTCCCTGGTGGCGCA